ATGTTTATTTAGCATTTTATACACGTATAATACTGTATTTTATTAAATTAAAATAACCATTTTTTTTTATTTATTATGTATCATATTGATTCATCAGGCCTTTTGGTAACTTCTTAGCTCAGAACAATTTTTATTTTATCACCAAACAAAGTTATAACATTTCAATTAAATAGAACATTTGTTTGTTTCTGTTTGTTTTTTACACTAAACATTTGACAGTCTTTATTTATTTCACTTTTAGCAGTTTCAGTCAATTGTTCTTGCAAAGACAGACCTTACACTTCTCACAGTATGCATGTGAGAAGTAATTGCAATGTTCTTTTGCCCTTTAGGACTCCCATGTCTTTCATGTTGTTTTGACAAATGTAGTACAAAAAGTCCAAAAGCAAGGCTAGTCAAGGTGATATAATCATTTAGTGAGGGAAAATTAAATTGAGAAAAAAAATTTGGGCTGGTATGAGATGCATTTCTTTGCGACTTAACATGCTTAATGTAATTATACTTTTTACTACTTCATACTATTTCAGTTGTGTTCAGAACTGCGAAACTGCATTTTTTTAAGCATATTGATAACTTTATGAAAAAATATCTTTAATTTATTGATGGAAATATTTTCCACATTTTATCACTTGCCTGTTATAAAATATAGTTGGATTAAAGGGGGGCGCGCAAAAGTTGAAGCCGCATACCCATCAGTAAATGTGCAGTTGCGCCCCTGCTCATTACCAGAAACATTGACTCCCTTACATTGTTCAAATCAAAACTTAAACCCCACTTATTTAAGATGGCTTTTAATACTTAATTTTATTTGCACTATTGCTGTGTATATTTTATTATTTCTCTAGTTGTTTTATTATTCTTGTTGATTGTACGGTGTCCTTGAGTTGCTAGAAAGGCGCCTTTAAATAAAATGTATTTTTAACACCAAATGATCAACTAGAAGTCAATTTATTATTTGTTGGATAGGTGACAAGAATTTTGTCAGGTAGTGAATTGTTATACGTGTTATACAGTAAACATCATGCAGTATCAAGCCTAAATGGATTCATTACTTTAAAGTAATGAAACACCCATTTCAAGAGATGCTACAACTACATAACCCCATTATAAGTTGTGCAAGTCTTGTACTCACCATAAACCCAGGCTACAGCAATACATTCAAAGAATGCAACCCATAAAAGGCACACGCCACTGGCTGCATAGTAGTCAAAGAGTTGAAACACATACATGCCACCCTGCAAAACAAAAATAAAAGACAAAAGCAAATGAGAAAGCGCTCAGGCTCTAGTTCATGCTGTAATTGCTAAAGGCTGTCACAATGGGGGACTGTTGTGACCAGGGGTTGGCTAAACACTTGACTAGTTTTCTTTTAGACTTGTTGCACAATGCATTCAGGGGTGACATAAGACATTATGTCATGGAAAAAAAATGGGACACTGTGTGGCTCCAGCCGCATAATAGCATTCTCAGTTTATCGCTGTTCCGGGGGCTTAGCAATCAGGGGCCGAGATTTGAAGGGGGCCAGAGGAATCCTAGATGTGCATTGTCAGAGCAGGCCGGATCTCCTAGTTTAGCAGTTTGATTCCTCTGTGGAATTTTCACTGCTCAAAGCAGGTCAGGACGTCCATAAAAAGACATGGAAGCGGGAGCGATAAGGCACTGCTGGGAGTGCAGGACTTTTCCTTATGGGTGAGCATTTGGGCAGTAGATCTGGCATGAGTGTGGCGTTCTTCTTCATTACATGGTTTGGTTTAAGGCCATATCCTATTGAATGACCCAAAAGGAAAACATATGGTGCCTGGCCATTTAACTAAGCTGCATTTGATACACACTTTATTTGGACAGGAGATTCAACTGGTCCAATATATTGGCGAAGTGGTAAAGACTAGTGGTCAGATTTACTTTTTAGCATTAAAACAGTGCTTTCGATATCTACTAAACACATGTAGAGAGGAATAGTTCTGAAAAGGCTTGGACACAGCTATTATTGCTTTTAATTCCATGTGCATACCTGATGAGATGCAAATTTTATGAAACTGCTGTATTTAAATTCATCATGTAATTTTCTTAGATTTGTGATCTTCAAATTCTGGGTATTAAGGTTATTATAATATGAGACTAACTTCATGAATATCAATTATTTTCTTAGCAACCTCCACACATTGGTCTAGCACCAATCCTGATCATAGTAGATTAGTTCGGACTTACTTTATAAGCATCAGTTCAGCTTTATTGCCACTATGCTAATTTTAATTTGCGCAGTGCTTCTTGTTTTAGTTGATATTTAAATGAGATATTAAGACAAGGGCTGTTTCCCAATTCCAAGAACGCAGAGAACGGACTTGTGTTCTTGTGAAGACCGTTCTTGCCAGGTGTCCTCGGAAGAACGAACTCAGGAGACCGCGAGGGCAGAGAACGCGTCCTTTGAAAATTGAGATGCTGCGTTCTTCCTGATGGTCACATGACCTTCACGTGTTTTAAATGGTAAATTATTTAAACATTACAGCCTTCATACAACGATTTATTGTTTTTCCCCTTTTCAAAATATATACTTTGCATAAAAACATTATAAATATATGTTGCACAATATAAATAAAACTGATTTTAACATGAATTTCAACAAACAAACACCCTTAATGTGTTTATTCCGTTATTAAGATGTCCATGGTAATGTTTACTTTCACTGTTTCATTTAGGGAAACTCCTGAGGTAAATAATTCATATCTATGAACTTTAATAATAAATCTAGATAAAATTCAGCGCTTCCCACCTCCAGTCGCAATGACTTCTGGGACTTCCAGAGCAAGTTCGGTGCTCTCGTCTGCATCCGTGCGTCCTCGATATCAAGAACACATCCGGGAAGTTTCACGTGTCCTCCGTACTTGCGGTCTTGAGTATTGGAACTGAACTTAGGCAGCTGATGATGACGTTTCACGAGAACACGAGGACGCAAGACCGCTGAAGAACGCATATTGAGAAACAGCCAAGTACTTTCACTTCTGCGGCCATCTTCGAAACGCCTCTTGGGCAGTATGCTTGGGCATTCTCTCAGAATGGGAAAACATCAAATTCTCTAAAACTGTTAGCCAAGCTTACGATTACATTACATATTTGGAATTAGCAATAAAATTAAACAACAATAGTCTCTGAGATACGTTTCTAAACTTTTGAATGAAACAAAAATCAACATTTTTTTTCAGGTTTCCCAAGCTAATACACACTCAAAAAGAACGAGAACACGACAACAACCTCATTTATGGCTGTGTTAAACATTATCATCCTCCGGATAATGCCTTGTCTGATTTCACAGCTCTTCTGAAGAAATTCACAACTTGGTCTCGATGGCAAATCTCCTCCCGAAATAACATTGACTCTTTGTTTACAGATTTGTGGCCTATGAGTAGTTGCTGTCATGTGACTTGCGTTTGACGTGATGGGCTGTACCTCATGTTCGTTTCATACAGATAACAAAACCAAAAAACTTTTGTTTTCAAATGTATTAGTTCATTTAAATAGTAGAGATTTCAAGCTTTATGTGGATAAATTTCTTATGCCTATGAAGCAAGTATTCGCTGAGATTCCTGTGCGTTTGTTGACCACAAACACTGTCGTAAAAGCACACGCAAATTTGTTGTGTTTGTTAAATCTGGCTTTAGAACTTACATTGAATTGGAAGGGAATTTTTTTTGTGTTGTACTTACCTCGGTGACCATGGTAAGTCCCAACAGGTAGCTCACAAAACAGACAATAGCAATGAAGATTTCACGCCGATAACCCTTCCTTAGGAAGGATGGATACAGATCCACTAGGGATGTGATCTGCCCTTCCACTTCGACAAACTGCCAAAAGAAATTAAACAGTCAACACAAACCGGTTTCTTGTTTGCAGACTCAAGCTGAAAAGGTAAATATTGCATATTTTGTGAGATTATAGAGTATAAAACAAGTTTCCAAGTAAGAATAAATGGTCTCTACAATGTAACTGTCATAACATTTCGATAGACTGAGCTAAAATCAATTGGCTAATTTAGAAGAATATATAGAAAGTTCAGTCATTGTTTGGCTGGTCAATACTATAGTAAAAGGCATCTACTGTAAGTAGCAGTGTACTTCTTTAATGTTATCCAGCACAGCTGCATGAGTATTTAGATAAGCATACTTAATATGAGTATAAACACCACACCCTGAGTCAGTGGACTCCCTGGATGTGGATGGACACTGATTTAGCAGAGTATTCAATTTCACCTGGACCAGGAAATGTGATAGTATAGGACTCCAACTGCGGTATGACTCATTAGCTTCCATCAAATTTTTTTACAAGTTTGTCATCATGTTGACTTGTGTACTGTGACCTAACCTTCTATACGGAGTAATTCCTTTAACATTTTAAGAAAGTAGGAAAAAATATTATCTATAGATCGGGTTGAACATCAGCACTAGGCTGTATGCCATTACAACTAGCTGTTAGCATACCTTTCTGTTTAATGATTGAAACCCACCTGACTGTCGAGGCCCAACAGCAGAAGCATGATGAAGAAAAGAATGGCCCAAAATGTAGGCAGTGGCATCATAGTCACAGCTTTAGGGTAAGCAATGAAGGCTAGGCCAGGACCTATAGGGAAGAGAACAGAGGGAAGAGGGGAAGGGAGAGAGCAAAATTAGCAAGGCTAGCGATTTGCACACTTTGATCCATGCCGATGTATTGCGTATTTACATGTCGGCACAGACCAAAAGGAAACATGAAAGAAAAATCGAGCGAGTATCTACATGACAAAGCGATAAGGCCAGGCAAAATTACTGCCAGTGGTTCGTTGCAAGTCCATTGACTGTTTCAATGAATCTTCTTGTGAAATTAGCATCTTGATTTTAGGGAAATCTAGAAAAGGTTTCATCAGCAGTGTAATATTTTCCCTCGTTAACATATTCAACACTGCATAGAACAACGTTAAGATACAGATGCAGCATAGAAACTTCTCCAGTTGCTAACATTACTGCAACATCAAACTTAGCATTCAATCTGTTCATCAGAACATGCTGTAAAAAGAAAAACAGCACAGTGCGTGTATAATAAAGGCAGAGAGCATATTAAAGTATTAGCTCACCCAACAATGAAAAGGTGTTTATTGTTTACTCACTTATTATTTTGTATTATCTTGTCATTTCAATCACCTGAGACCTTTGTTCATCTTTGGAACTCAAAGTAAGCTTATTTTATATGAAATCTAAGAGAGATGTTCAGAAAGCTAGCTCTCTGCAACTCTCACATGGTCACCCACTGAAGCTAATTAGGACTGTGCCTGATCAGTATCTGAATGGGACCACTAGGTTGCTGCCGGAAGTGATGTTAGTGAGACTAGCAGGAGGCGCTCAACCTGCGGTCTGTGTGGGTCCTAATGCCCCAGTATAGTGAAGGGGGCTCTATACTGCTCAGTGAGTGCAGACAATAGGATGAGACATTAAACCAAGGTCATTAAAAAAATCCCAGGATGTCCTTCAAAAAAAAAGTAAGGGATTAAACCCCGGTATCCTGGCCAAATTTGCACACTACCCTTGATCTATGGAACATATCATGGGCTCATCACTATCTCCTCCCCAACAATCAGCTGGTGTGTGTGGTGTGCGGTCTGACACAACCTGCGGTCTGTGTGGGTCTAATGCCCCAGTATAGTAAGGGGGCTCTATACTGCTCAGTGAGTGCCGTCTTTGGATAAGTAGTTAAACCAAGGTCCTGACTCTGGGGTCATTAAAAATCCCAGGATGTCCTTCGAAAAAGAGTAGGGGTTTAACCCCAGCATCCTAGCCAAATCTGCCCACTGGCCTCCTAACCCTCCCCATATCATAACTGGCTTCATCGCTCTTGTCTCCTCTCCACCAATCAGCTGGTGTGTGGTCTGGTGCAAAATGGCTGCCATTGCATCATCCAGGTGGATGCTGCACACAGGTGATGAATGAGGAGATTCCCCTTAATATGTAAAAGCGTTTTGAGTGTCCAGAAAAGCGTAATATAAAATGTTAGAAATTTATTATTACTATTATTATTATTATTATTGTTTAAAAACAATCTAAATATTGCATGCAACTTCAGTGGTTCAACTTTAATCACGAAGAAGCAACTATGACACAAGGAATGTTTTTGGTTCCTCTTCTAGATGTTCGACATCTCGCTCAAATTCTGTGCTGGAGGGCCAGTGTCCAGCCAAGTTTAACTCTTACTTTTTTTAACACACCTGCCTGGAGGTTTCTAGTATGCCCAGAAAGAGCTTGATTAGCTGATTCAGGCATGTCTGATTGGGGTTGAAACTAAACTCTGCAGGAAACTGGCCATCCAGGACCGAGTTTAGACACCCCTGGATTAAGAGATTGAAATGACATGAGGGTGAGTAATTAATAACAGCATTTTCATTTTTATGTGAGCTAATCATTTAAAAGATTATCCACATGACATGCAATCAACGCCAAGGTACAGTAAGATACACTTTTGCAGAGTCAGGTTGATGAATCTGTGACTGACCACCCTAAATCCTCTCTACTAAAAGAGAAAAAAAAAATCTTGTAGCTCTTGGCATTTGTAAAGTTTAGAAATGGGTCCAACAGAATAATCCTGAAAGACTCCCTGATAAGGATCCTGTGGTTCCATACAACCCAAATGGTGCTGATATGAACGGAAGTTCAAGTAAAGTTTAGGTTTGTATGTCTTATAAACAAGGTGAAAACGATGTTTTTGTGCACCTCACTTGAGCCAGACATACATAGTTCAAAGTCTCCACAGGGGAGGATCAAAATATGAACCGTGCTGAAGACTAGACACTTGGAGGGGGAAAGTATGGGGCTTGAAAGCAATTAATACATCAGCTGGTCTCTCACCATGAGAATTGCTCAAAATGTATCTGAACCACAGAACATAATACAGAATTAGGATGCCTAGCTATGTGGAGAACTGTTCGACATCTACTAGATGGCCAAAGGTACGTAGACACCAGAACATCTCACCCATATGTGGATATTAAACATTTCCTTTCAAACCATAAGCATTAACAACAAGCTTCCACTACTCTAGGAAGGTGTTCCTGTAGATGTTGGAACAGGCATTTGCCCCCATTCAGACAATAACATCAGTGATGTCAGGCTCTGGTCATGGGTGATTTGGCTGACGTTCCAACACATCAAAAAGATGCTCGAGTTCAGGTCTAAGATTATTGAATGGCAGTCATGTTCTTCCAAACCAGCCTCAGCAAACCCATTCTTTATTATGGTTGTATGCTCCATTTTAGTCAAACACAATAATTAGATGAAGGTATCAACATACTTTTGGCCGTATAGTGTGTACAGCTTAGAAAAGGAACCAATAGGAACAGACTATTCGATCATAGTCAAATTGCAAAAGGAGTTCAGAGGACTTAAATCCAAACTCTCCAAAAATCCTGAACTTGGCACAAGATGCATCTGGTTTAGGGTCACCAGTGGAAAATGTTCTGATCAGCGAAATCTTGATTCTTCATTACTAGTGGGCTACGGCTTATTGTTCCCAGTGGCTCCAAGAAAGTTCTCTCCATTAAGTTCTACAGACGATTCCAAGCGAATTCCAGTTCTCGCTGAGCCCGCCTTATGCATCAACACTTTGAATGGTTTTAATCTGCTCAATGATGGTGAAGGTTCCAAATTTTATGGGTTTAGATCCCGAAACTTATTTTACTGGCTCCGAAAATGTTATTGTCGTATTTTTTTGCCGAAGTTTTTTCATGTTATTTGCTGCAGCAGTGCCCACCATCACTGCTACTAGACCCTCGTACCTGACTCTGCCACATCGGCAATGTCCACCCCTTGCTCTTGTGCCATGAAGCCCAGGACGGAAAATATTGCGAAGCCAGACACAAAACTGGTAGCGCTGTTCAGGCCTCCCAGCAGCAAACAGTCCCTATGTCACACATATGTCATGGAGTTTGTTAATTAAAACACAGGTTCCCTGTGTTCCCACTTTGCCCATTGACTGGACTAAGCCCCCCTCCCAGCCCCGGGGTATCGAAACCCACCTGTAGCAGTTGTATTTGTACTTGTTGTAGCTTCCCAGTGACGTCATGGCTCCCAGACAGATTGCGTAAGAGAAGAAAATCTGCGTCCCAGCATCAATCCAAACCTGTACACAAGACGCCAAACCATTCACTGACTGACAACATGAATAGAGCAAACTCAAATATTTGCATGCGTTCTGCCTCTCGAAGGTCCTTCAGAACTGTATACACCATTAAGGACTTATATAAATTGTTTCAACGACTACATGTCATGTTTAGATTTGTAGCTTTCTGACCGAAGCCATCACAAGCTTTATTTATGTCGACTCTTTTGCACATCTTGGGTTTCTGTCTGTAAACTGTACATCCGAAGTTTATTCTGTTTTTAAGTTGCGAAGGGTAATTGGTTTACATTATGTCAACAACTGTAAACAGCACTTTTACTGCTGAAAAATCCATTTTAGATTGCCAAGTCGTTAACCTATGTTTTGACTTTGGTCAAGCAATAGTTGGTCCTTATGTTAAAGTTAGCCGGCCAAGAAGCCTTTTAAAACCTCATTCAACTTATGCCAGGAACCAACTATGATGGTCTTTATAGTAAGAACGATGGCTTTAGTGACCCAATACATGTGTTAGAAGCACTTGAGATATTGTGGAATTGAGTTTCAGTGGTTGGTAATATTGTAAAGCATCTTGAGGAGACATGTTAATAGCCATGAGATCTTACCTCTGGGTCTCCGAGGCGAGTCACATTTGGGTACAGATAAAATTTGATGCCCTCGGCTGCCCCAGGAAGTGTGACACCACGTACTAGCAGGACAATTAACATGACAAATGGGAATGTTGCTGTGACGTACACAACCTAAGTAGAAGAGCCAAAAACACTGAGGTTAAAATGAATGCTGTTTTTCTATGAAAATCTCACTAAGTTGTGTTTGAGATTTGACAAAACTAAAAAAGCAGAGTTTTTTCACAAGGTCTTTGAAAGACATGTCAAACTTTCCACATTCTGAAACGACACCATCCAACAGTTTTCTAGGCTAACATGCAATTTACAGATTAACTTCTCTGACTCAATGTAATTTTTGGTCAGACAGTGAGGAAATAATGTGCTGTTTTTCTCCCATCTTGTAATGTTTGGTTTGGCTGCAGATTTTATTTTGAACACAGTGTTGAATGTCAAAACATTACTTATCCTCAAGTAGATTTAAAATAGCCATGTCAACGACTATGAATGCTAATATCACATTTAAAAAAAAAAAAGTGTAGGAAAGTTGTGAGAAGAACGTCTTTAAGTAGTCAAAGTAGCAAGAGAACAACTTAATGTGACAATGTCTTGGTTGAAATGACAACCCACAACTGCATTATAAAAGTAAAGTGAGCACAAGTCTAGAGAAGAGGTCTGCTGATTAATTTCACAGTCTCTATTAGTGCTATTATGCTAGAGCTTCTATTGCTGATAATCACCAAGGAACAGCCGTTTTATGTTGACAACACTGGCTAAAGTAGCATGCAAATCTCCCCAGCTACTTATAACTCTAATGACACTGTAAAAACTAATATTAGTAGTTCTTAAATTAACTGACTGAAGTTGAAAAAAATCATGTAATGCAACCAAGCTTACCTTCCCAGTGGACTTAACACCTTTCCAGATACAGAAGAAACAGATGACCCACATAGCGAGCAGACACAGAGCCAGGTCCCATTTAACATGACCCACCTCCTCGATACCATCTGAGATGCTGAGAACATTTCGCCTGTGGTGGAAAAAAGGTTTGCTGGTGAGACACTCTGAAGCCCATGGGAGTGTTTATAAGGCTATAAATTAGAAAAACAACTATATATAATCTAACACAGTCAATCAAGGCATTCAACCTGCCATGACAAATTATTTTCTCAACAGAGGAAAATGTACCAGAACAACAGCTCAATCATTAAAGAACTGAGGTAGCCAACTCTGATCCTGAAGGGCTACCTTCCTGAAGACTTATTTGGTACATATATTATTGGCTACCTTTAATTTTTTAAGAGCTAAACTCTGTAGTATGGTAGCTCTCAAAAAGTTGGATAGCTTTCACGGAGTTGGATAAACCTGACATTGAATTCCACAACTAATGTCTATTAGAAAAGGGCCATCCATTCCTGAACCTAGAAGCCTACATTTTAGATTTACATTTAGATTTAGACCAGAGATGGGCAACTTTGGTCCTAAGGGGTTTGTTGCCCTGCAGAGCCTTATTGCGACCCTCATCTAAAGGTGTACTCACACTACGTACAGTTGCATTGAACGGGGCCAAAGCACACTTGTCCCCCCTCCAGTCTCCCCCAACGGAACGCACTCACATTACATTCGGGCCTGAGCATGCTTATGTCATCGATGATGCACTGTTCATTAGAGAAGTGCTCTCGCTCAGCACAGTGGAGATTTCTCTAGTTATATTGTATTAGTAATTTGGGATTCAGTGATACACATTCAAATATTTTTGGCCGAACAGATCCTCCACTTTTGATGCTCATAAACAGTCATAAAGTCTTTGTGCTGCAGGGATTAGGAGGTTTGTTGAAGGCACAGCTGTCGTGCAGTGAGGGGTTTGCGTCTTTAATAAACTATGACAGTTTGCGTTCATTGAACAGTAAGAATGATTAATAAATCCATATGAAACAGTCAAGTCACATCTTGCTTTTAGTTTGGGCTTAGGTGCGATTTGCACTCACACACAAGCGTACCATGCCAAAGCCCAAGTGAACCGCGCTCAGGCACACCTCTTCCAACCGGGCCAGGGCCGGCCAAGTGAGCCTGATTCAGTGTACTCACACTTCTCAAACAATCGGGGAAACGGGCCTAGGCACGGGTTCGTATAGCATAGTGTGAGTAGGCCCTAAACTCTGCAGGACCATCAGGACCAAGTTTGGTGACCCCTGGTTTAGTTCCTAGATCCAAGATCCTAATCTTTGATGCGGGTCCTGTAGAGTTGCAGTTCCTGAGAGTTGCAGAGTTTGATTTGGCCTTTAAAAAAAAAAAATCATCTGCTTGCATATATCTTGTAACACTCCTCCAGGCCTGATAAGGTTGATCAAGTCTGTTTGAATAGGGTAGTAACTGAACTCTACAGGACTGTGGTTCTCAGAGACCAAACTTGCCTACTAGTTTAGTAGACTATATTTATATATATATATATATATAT